CTCTGGGGGCTTCTCAGCTGTCATCTTGTCAGGGGTCTCAGGCTTAGGGGGCGGCCCCGGGGCCTTGGGGGCGGGGGCCGGACCCTTGGCCTGCCCCGAGCGCCTGGGGGGGAACAAGGGAGGGAACAGTGAGCAGCCCCCCAAGGCCCCCAAGTTCTCCTCTCGGGATCCCCCTGCCCAGCCCACAGCTCTGAGCCCAGACCACCGTCCCGCTCGCTGCGGCGGTCTCCTCTCGGGGCCTGTCCCCTGCCCTGGACTCGCCATCCCTCTGTGGGTGTCTGGGTCCGGCCCTCTTCTGTCCCCTCCTCCTGACAATCTCCTCTGTCGCGTGTCCGGTCCCCCAGCCGTCTGGCCGTGCCCGCCTCCCGTCCCCCAGGCTCCCTGGCACCTACCTGACAGGCGCTGGGGGCCGGTGCCAGGGTTTCCGGGCACAGACCCTCACGTAATCCTTCTTGTTGACGTTTTCCAGAAACTTCACATAAAGGCGCTGGTACCGGTTTTTTGCGTCCCCAAAATACCCCAAATACTACAGAGGGAAGGAGGCACAAGAGGAGCTCCTTTCACCCCCTCATCGGGGCAGCCCCGATACCCAAGCTCCCCACCGCCCTGGGCCGGACACCCCGACGGGGCCCCCACAGGCTTACGTTGCTGGTGGCGCAGAACTGCCGCTGCCCGTCCTTGATCTCCGGGGTGAACTTCTGCAGCAGGGCCTTCTGGACGCGCCAGATGGGCGGGGGCTCTCGGCCCGTCTGCAGCGCCAGCTGAGGAGGGGGCAGAGCGAGGCCGGCGGGGTCAGCACCCCCTCCTGCGCCTCGCCCCCCGGTGCCTGGCCCTCTGACCTCCCTCGGTGCCCCCTTCGAGGAAAGGCCCCGTGGTCAGCAAGGACCCACGGACATCCGATGGCAGATTATCTTTTGGTCCCGTGAGGGTCTGAGCCCTGGGGGCCTCGCTGAGCCTGGAGACAGCTGGGGTCGGGCCGGTCCTCCCGCGGCTCACCCAATGCTCGCTATCCGGCCCCTCGTGCCGGGGCTGCGAGGCTTCGGTCATGACAGCTCCGCGGTCTGATGGCGCACGCCTCCCGCAAGAGGTAGTGACAAATCGCAAGCACCTACCACCCACCCTTTTCCAGACGCAGCGTCTGGCCCTGAGATCGGCAAAGCCTTGACACGGGGTCTGCGTTACCGGGGTAACGAGACAGACAAGCAAATACACGAAGCGGGGCCAGGCTGAGGCTTGTGCCAAGAACAGACAGGCTGCCCTGACCGGTATGGCTCAGTGGATAGAGCGTCGGCCTGCGGACTGAAGGGTCCCGGGTTCGATTCCGGTCAAGGGCATGTACCTGGGTTGCGGGCACATCCCCAGTGCGGGATGTGCAGGAGGCAGCTGATCGATGTTTCTCTCTCATCGATGTTTCTAACGCTCTATCCCTCTCCCTTCCTCTCTGTAAAAAATCAATAAAATATTAAAAAAAAAAAAAAAGAACAGACAAGTGACAGGCGACCTGGGACCGTTTTCTCCATCAGCTTATCCACACAGGGCAGGACCCAGGGAGAGGAGAGGTCCGCCCCTCCACACTGCCCGCACGCCCGCAGACCCTCTCCCACACACCGAGCCTCGTGTGCCCCCGGCTGGGCACTGGAACCCACAGATGTGAGTGAGCCCCCAGCACCTGGTCTTGGGGAGCAAGGCGGGCAGCCGGGGAGCCAGACGCAGGCACACGGAAAGTAACAGCACCGGTAGTGAATGTGTTAATGGCGGATGCCCTGGGAGCCTAGAGAAAGGGCCCTCAACTCAATTTGAATCCAGGAATGCTTCCTGGAAGAAGTGACGCCTAAATGAGTCCTGGGAGGACCCTGTCCCTTTCCCTGAGGGGACTGGGTGATGACCAGGGCTGCCAGGGAAGTGTGTGACCGCTGTGGCCCTAGCAGGGAGCAACTGACGGTACAGATATGTAAAGACTAAGAACACAGCCCTGACCGGTTTGGCTCAGTGGATAGAGCGTCGGCCTGCGGACTCAAGGGTCCCGGGTTCAATTCCGGCCAAGGGCATGTACCTTGGTTGTGGGCACATCCCCAATGGGGGGTGTGCAGGAGGCAGCTGATCGATGTTTCTCTCTCATCGATGTTTCTGTCTCTCTATCTCTCTCCCTTCCTCTCTGTGGAAAATCAATAAAATATATTTAAAAAATAAAATAAAATAAATTCTACAAAGG